AGTCTCCAGGATCTGGCCCTTCTATCCTCAGAAACCCAAGGTGTGCATAGGGCATTTATTGTCCACATTACTGGCTGCATCAGGCAAAAAAAGTTCATTTCCAATATAGTCAATTTTCTTTATATTGGAGCCAATCCAATATTGGACCAATGCATCAGTGCACCTCTACATAGGAGTACTACCCTAGTGGGGAGCCTAATGAACTCAGTGAAGAACATTTCCTTCCATTGCCCCTTAGTTCTCATCAAGGAGGGGAAGTGAGAATGAACCAGCACTTCCAATACACAGAATTTTACAGTGAAGTACAATGGCTTGGTCACCAATATGATCAGCCACTGGAGGGTGACCTATGAGCCTGGCACATATTCTTTTTCAGTTTTTTAAATATGTAGTGTACTGTTTTGCATGAAAATTAAGAGGCGACACCAACAATTTTAACTTAAAGCAAAACTGGTATAGTCTTGTCTCGTAAGACATCTTATTTTTATTACTGTTTCCATACTAAATGCTGTTTTGCAACAACAACATTATTTTACCAATTACTTTTGTAGGGTTTGGCTATCTTAAGCACAGTTTAAGATAGCCAAACCCTATCCTAGAGTAACTAGACACACACACAGACAATTTAGTTATCTGGCTTTTAAGTGCTGAACATGAAGCAGCATCAATTAGTTAGAAAGGTATAGAACTCAAGACAGAAGAAAGGTTAAAGCTTCATGTTTGATTTTCTACATAATTGACAGTAGAAAAAATGTCACTTCAAACTAACACACAGCAAGAACTACTGTACAGCCGTTTAGATCTCAGAGCAAAGACCTTTGAGCTTGCTAAGAATCTGATACTTACTGAAAGTCTTACAGATATCAGATACAGCTTTGAAGACTCTATCAGAGAAATTCACTTTCACTTTCACATACTTCATGTTCGGAAGTTGAAGACGAAGTAATTTATGTTGAGGAGTGAACTGGAGCTTAGCATCAGCTTGTATACCATATTTGTCCAAGGTCCAGTGAGTTTTGAGGAGCCAGGTTTTCTTTTTTTCCCACCACAGTGCGTGATCTGACCAGTCTTTCTTGACATCTAGGAGAAAAGAGATTTTAAAAATTAAGCTACGACAGGAAAATATTAAAGCACATGATTTTATTTCTATTTAAAGAAGGTCCCATTTAAAAAGTGAAAATCCACCTGAAAGCTAGTCAGAGAGTTTGAAATACAAAATTTCAGATACATAATTGCTTGTATTCCCCTTATACCCACAGGCAACAACTACTGTCAGTGCCCTCACCCGCTGAGTGCTGTAGAAATACAGCAGAGACATGCCCTGTCTGAAGGAGTTTACAAGCTGAGTGCTTAAGAAGCTGGTATGCTGTGGACACAACTTTTCACAGGGACCTCTGCTGTCTGTTTCCTTGTATTCTCCCCATTTAACAGTGTTTTTTCTCATGCACCTTTCACCTCTTCTACTTTGGTTTAAAGCTTGCTGGAGCAGAGCCCATTTTTTGTTCTGTGTTTGTTTGGTGCCTAGCACTATGGGGTCCTGATCTAGGTATGAGCTCCCCATGCACTTCATGACTTAGATTAGCCAACACAGAGTCAAAGGGCAGGGGCAGGCTGCAATGAAGTAAAGTGACTTGCCCAAGTATCTTGCAGCCACCTGGAGGCAGAGGTAGGGAGAAGACCAGGTGGGTGTTAAGTCCTAGCCCAATACATTAAAACTAGAGAAAGTATCTACTGTTCATCCCCTCAAACCCTTTTCATATTTTGAATTTTCATACAAAATAATTTCTCCCTGGTTATGATGAAAGAAGGTCCTCACTGCCAAAAGGTGGAACAGAACTCCTACGACGCATGGAAAGCAGTGAAACCAAATCAGCGCTGCAAGATGAAGACTCCACCCCCCCCCCCATTTTTTCCTGGTGTTAATTAACAAGGTAAAATATTTTTTACTAGAAGAGAGGTTGCAAAGTTCCTTCCTACAGTTATCTAATGACAAAGTCAACAGTCACAAATAACTTCTACTAACATTAAGTTCTTCCAAGACTTTTGAAATAAAACCAGCCCTATTTGAAAAAGGTTTTGCAAATGCTGAAAGCTGAGGTACATAATAATCAACAGTAACTTTGAAAATTCTGGCTAGCAACTGCGTAAATTGACCCGCTGTGCACATGCAGAATTTTTTCACTTCAGCTCAGAGGTCCAGAATCCCACGTGCTGCACAGCATGGAGTCTCTTTCAGTGCTTTCATTATAAACATTGCTTCTTAGTCATAGTTTAAAACCTAAGTCTAACAACCAAGCAAGTGATCCCCTGAGCTACGTATTTAACATCTGTATTTAGCAGTTTAGGTGAAGACCATACATACAGAATAATGAGGGGGTGGCTGTTAAAGAATCCTACTATCTAGCTAAATGTTACCTGACATGATGAGACAAGGAGAGCACAGTACTGTATAGTGGTAGGATTCTGCTTGTCTACAGTGCATCTATTACATTGATTTCTCCTTCCTCACTCATCCTTCATCGTCATTATCACATTTTTTGGAGGTCCTGATGTTGTGGGGCAGACAGTCCTGCCAAATTCACAATAGCTCTTAAAGGGATTAGTGAGGCTGCTCCAAGTTAAAATTGAGGGTCAAACCAGTTTCAAACAGGAACCAAAAGGGGGATACGCAGGCACTTTTGCTCTCTCATGTCTAACTGGTACTGCAAAACATGCTCCACTGCACTTGAGAATTCAGTTTTGAAAAATACTGGGGTCTGTGCAAGCATAGAGTTGTGACAAATGGCAGTCTCTATATTTTTTTATTGCAATAAAAGCAAATGCTCACATGTCCATACATGAGATTCTCAATATATTTACTTATCCTATAGGAAAGAAAGTGTAGGGTCTTTCACAGACTAAGTATCATTAGGAAGAACGTAAATCAGCAGCATATTTCAAGCTCAGGTGGCTTGTGTTAGGATTTTAATAATAAAAAGGAAACTCTAACCCAGTGCCTCTTGCCAAAGCACATAAAACAAATGAAAGGCTCTTTTGGTCAACTTGCTGGTGTCATATGAACACCACTTGGGTCCCCCTCTCCAGATTCTCTTGTGATCGCATCCTGATAACACAGAGAACTAGTTTGCCCAATGTTACGGATGGCTGCTAACATTTACTAAAAGGTCTCTTGTTTCATGCCTAAAATCTGGACTACAAATAATCAAACCAGCCAGCTAAAAAACAAGCAAAGCAAGATAATTTAAGGCAGTAAACTGCAAGTCAGATGGCCAATAGTGTACCAAGTACTATATTCTAGTAGTTTTTATCAGAAGAAACATTTTCACAAGTATTATCTTTGAACTTCTGGAACTAACTGGTTCTATCGTAAGGAAAGAAGATGGAAGAAATTAATTTACAATTAACTTTCTGTCTCCTTTTCACCTCTATGCTGCACTTGATCTTGAGATAAACAAATGTTATAGCATGTATAGAATCTTAAAAAAAAATATAAACTCCCCCTCTTCTAGTATACTAATACAGACATAAAGCAAGAATGTCAGCCTGACTTTTCAAGAGCTTTGTTCAATCAAAACTAAACAAAACCAAATATAGAAAAGCATGTAAACTTGCACAAGTGTTGGCTACTCTCAAAAAAATTTGACAAATCATTACAATGAACTTTGGTAATGAAGTCCAGTTTCTGCTACCCTGGAAGTTTAAAGTTGGCACTGAAAGCAAGAAGCATTTTAAGTCACAAACATGGAAGTTTGTGCAAAATGGATGGATTTGGCTTTACATGGTATATTAGTAGTTTTTAGCCACAGTAGAAGACAATATCATGCAAATTCCTAAGCTGAGACTAATTAACACTTGGAAGAATGTAGCAAATGGTTACGCTAAGACAGGTATATCAAACAGTTCTGCACAGTCTTGTGACTTTCTTACCCAGGGTTCAATAGCAAATAGACATCTGAAACTAAGCCTTACTGTCAGTTCTTAAACACATGGTATGCTCTGAATTTGTCACTTGCCAATTTGTCCTTACTACAGTTTAATGGCAACAGGAAAAGTGTTTTCAAGCTCCATGCTTCATTTAGGAAATGTATTCCCTACTACAAATACAGAGTTTGAGCATTTAACAAGGGTGTTACACTGCTTCCCTACCTTCAAGCAGTACATTTTCCAACAGCCCTACAATCTGCGGTACATTTATACCCACTTCAGAGAGTTCAGATCTCAAAGCTAAAAATCATCATATATACCTTATACAATGAATCAAAGTAAGGATGGTAACAGGACCAGAAGCCTTCCTTTAACTACCAAATAATACTCATGCACTGATATTTTTAGCTATTGTTTCATTGCATTATAATGATACTATGTGAAAGAAAAACTACAAATTATTTAATTCAATTAGACTATTTGCAGGCCAAAGAAAACAAGCCCTGCCAAACAAACAGACCTCTCAAGTGCTGGTCCAAGATAGAGAAAAGGTACACGTTGCATCCATTTGTTAAAATTTACTTGCAGATCTGAGTGATGTGATACAGTGGGCCTGTGCACACAGGCCTTTTCAGAAATCCACAACTGTCTGCTAATTCTCAGGACAGAGATAGTCCGTTTTAGAAAGGCTTCCTTCCACTGCTTTTCTTGGGAAGAGGGTATCCACAGAAGGATCTCAAGAGAAGAATGGCATGGCATTTCTATAGGAGACCTGTTTCTTTTGTTTGCTTTATTAAGAGAGTAATGTGAGATTGTCAGTGGCAGTTAGCTCTGATAAAAATAAACACTCTTGTGGCCAAGGGATTTCAAAAGGCTCAGGAGACAGGCCCAACTGTTCACAGGCTCCTGGGCGACTTTTAGCTACACAAAGCCTATTGCTGTCAGCTGAAGTGGGCCTGCGGCTTGGGCAACTCGCGTTCCATCGTGCTACAAAGAAACTGGCTCAAAGTTGGTGGGAAAAGGAAGAACAATACTTCCTTTCCCGCGTTAAAAATAATCTCAGGTCCTAACTTGCATCCAGTGCTATGTAATTTGAAAAAGGGGACACTGGTTTACCGAAACTTGAACAGTCTAAAACCTCAAACATTTCTCCTCAAATAATGCATCACAAAGTTGAAATGTATATTCCAACCGTATGACCAAGTTGGTCCAGTGCTTCACACCCCTCTGGCAACCAGAAAGTAAGGACCCCGAGACTGGGTGCGAGGAAGTATTCCCTTTTCTCCCATCAGGTCATCTTAACACAACTGCAAAAACAACATTAAAAATATAAAAGAGCAGGCTATTGAAGTCAGCAGCTGCATCAGCTGGCTGTAATACAGATTGGGCTACAAAATGCTGTCACCTGCATTAGATGGCATTCAATGGGATTTTTCGAAGACTAACACATCAGAAGCTGTTCTGCAGCAAAAGCTACATACAATCCAGCCGGCTAACACAGCTTTAGACTCTATAGCCTAGTGGTTCTCGACCTTTCCAAACTCAAGGCACCCCTTGTTAAACTCAAGGCACCTCCCCAAAAAATGCCAACCCATAGCTTTTACTTATTGCTTGACTACAGAAAAATCCATCTGAATTCTTTGCAACAGGAGAATTGCTGTAAGATCACAACAGATCAGAATGTTTTTCACTCTATGGATTCCTATTTGAAATCTTTGGGTTTATTTTGTGAATTATAAATAGGCATTTGCATACCAAGCCCTGCAGCACCCCTCAAAGGGTCTCTCGACACCCTTGTTGAGGATCACTGTTGTAGTCCTTTTAATATGGCTTTTTTAATCATATTAAATTAAGAGAACTGGGAGAAAAAAAAACAATCCCACACCCAGACAGAAAGAATATGCATATTTTGCCCAGCCTACCGAGACCAGGTGCAAGAGCAGAGGAGGAGTCCTTACTAAAAAGGACTTTGAAACCACTTTATAGATAGAAAAAAACAAAAGAAAACAAAGACAGGGTCAACTTTCCATAGTTCACCTTGAAGCCTGGATCTGTTCAAACAGTCTTTCAAGCGTAAGAAGTATTTTAAATTCCCGTGGAAAGAACTCTCCAAGGGCAGAACCTTATGATGAGAGAAGAGACAGAGGTGAAGGTCT